GCATTTCATATTTTCTTATTGCATATAAACGTTCGTTTGATGTTTGTTCAAATACGCACTCTTAATAAAACTATGTATAATCTTTACTTCTTGCATGGTTCTACTCTGCTAACCATAGATTTCTACTAAACGGTTTTGAATGGACAGTGTTAAATGATTAACCGTTGGGCTATCAACGTAATTTGAGCAAATGTTCACCTTATTACAGGTCCTAGCAAAGCTTCTGGGAAAATTCAAATCATTCACTTAAGTAATAGAGCCATTCAATCAAGAAAAAGAAAGTCAAGCAAACTGTGGGCTTAAAAACATTGTTCCAAAGTTGCCTCTGTCGCGCATAGGAACCCTCCTCAATCTACATGTACTGTACATAACATTATAGAGATAAAGTTTATAAATTGTAAAACACTTGAAGTAAGCATTTAATTCTAAGTCTGAAGGAAGAATTTAAGAAGGAATGTCACACCATTTTTTTCATAGATCTTTAAGACATCCACTTTAAACTATGGTTTCAGCATTAAAAGGTTGATATTAGCTATCAATTATTTTATAAGATTTTTTTCCCCAATTTTTCATAGAAAATGAAAAAAAAGATTTTATTTGCAAATATATGGAATTCCATATACGACAGCCAACTGCTTACTGCCAGCTGCTCACTGCTTACTGCTACTGCTTATAGATGATATTGCGTATATTTTGGTATCTAATATCTTTAATACGCATGCTTGAATAAATCCTTTGACATATTTGAATGATTTTTTAATATTTATGTAGAAATTTATGTGAATTTTCATAAAAAATAACTTTTTGGAAAATCGAAGAGAGTTAAGTCTATAATTTTGGTAAAACTTGTGTTTATCACTATACAAATCAATGGAAAACGGATATTTATATTCACCCCCCCCCCACCCCCGTGAAACAACAATATGTTTTTACAGGTATTATGAATTGTTATTTTCACAAACTCATACCAAAGGATTTTGTGTTGTTTCCCGGGGAGGGGGGGGGGGCATGTTTACAGACAAAAACAATAAAAATAGTTACATGCATTTTATTACCAATTTCAAATGAAATAACAAGTAAAAAATGTACTTTATTAATCTGATATGCTTCGTCACAAGCAACGATTCGGAGTCCGCATACAGCTTTTTCCAGGACGGGAAAGGATCATAAATTTTAGCCGTTTGCGACGAAGTCTGATATGTTGAATTTTACATAAGTTAAACATTAATGGTCATTTATCCATTTTCATGAGAATTTGAAAATCTGGTGATGTTTTGAAGCCTGATTTCAATTGACAAAATTTTCTAACCCCTCCCCCCTTACGAAAGGAATTGTAAATAAGAGCAATTAACTTTTTGACACCGGTTTTAAAATTATCAATCAATTACTAACTGTTAACTGTAAAATTTTAAAAAATTAAAATGTCTGTCCAACCTCTCTTCACACATTTTATTAGACATTCATATTATGCATTTATTAATAGCAAATTTTAAACCATAAAGCATCTTTGATTTGAACGTATTTTATTGCCTATTAACTTTACAAATGGGATTGGGCAAAAGTTCTAAAAATTTAATACGCCCTTTCCCTACATATAAATTATACCAAACTTATTTACATATATGGGTTTCAGCTTAAAAAAAATAAACACAGAAAAACATAATAATCAGAGGAACAATATTCAATATAATATATCTCTTATATAATACACAAGCTGTATAGAATTCGTAAAAAGTAATAATTGTATCAACCAAAACAACCTGACTTTTTAATAGATGTTTGTACAATGGAAAATAGGTATTCATTTTCAACATCGTTTAACGTTTCATCTCCCCACAGTAAAGTGTGAGTATCAACAGCATGTAATTTTCCCATTCGCAGAAATGTGTCAAAAAATTCCTTTCTGGCCTCTGTATATTTTTTGCATGAAAAGAAATAATGATGAGTATCCTCCACTCTTCCACAAGAACATAAGGGACTCAAAATTACATTACATCGAAAAAAGATCGCTATTAAGCACACATTTGTGTCGAAACCATGTGACTGTGTAATATATTTAAGCGTCGAATTCCGTATCTGAAATAAGAGGGCGGCATAGGTTTATTGTAAGAAACGGACTTTTTAAAGATAAACAAAAAGGAAGAATTTCTTACAATAAGGGGTAATGAGTTCAATTCGTCAATAACAAGGGGGATGAAAGTTGACTTATATGTTTGCAATCTGCATTTAGGTATGTTATAGTTATATGAACTTCTCGTACTGTAACTTGATGAATTACAAAGCAAATTTGGGATTATATCAGTTAGATATTCAGGAACTTGGTTATTATAAATTTTATACTTTGTAGTTAATCAAGTATTTTTTTCTTCTTTCATGTAATGGTTCCCATCCAGTTTCAAAGTATAGTGTATCTTTAGAAGCTAATTTTTCGCTATCGCCTACATTACATCCACCCCACACCAAGGAAGCATATTTTAATTGGGGTCTAAGAAAGGTTGTGTACATTAGTGAAAGAGTTTTTCGATTAACAACAAATTTAATTTTTTTTAATAAGCATATTTGCAAATAACACATTTTTTTCATTCTCTCAGAAAAAATACCCCAAAAAAATCGTATTAAATATCAGTTTTTCAATGCTGCAACCATAGTTTAAAAATATATGTCTTAAAGATCTATTAAATAAAATTTTCATGTGGCATTCATCCTTAATTATGAAAAGGACTGGGGAAGGAGGTAGAAGACATGTTAGAAATTCCATAACTGCAGTGCATGATTTGGAGACAAGCCAAGGCCATCTTTATAAAAAATGTTTGTTAACCCTCTCCCGACCGACTGGCTGAAATGGCCCGACTCAAATCTTTTTTTTAACTCCAGAAAACAAAATATTTTTTCTTTACTCACCCGTCCACATGTATGTTGAAATTTTCTTGGTGAAAAAATAACGCGTATCATATCTCATTTCTAAAGGTTTTGTAGCAGGTTTTATTATATAATATTGTGAAAAAGTAGAGGGGGTCAGATTTCTGTGGGGGTCATTTTTCAACGTGAGAGGAGTCGTAGAATTACCGGCCTGGAAGGGTTTGTTTTCTACGGTCGAAAAATGGCCCTACTTGTCGTGGAATATTGCCCCAGGTTCATTTTTCTACGTAGAAATTTGACCCCCTGGTCAATATTCTACGGGGGTCACTTTTCGTCGTTACACCGGACCTTTGTTTTCATGCGTGGGAAGTGGAAATCTCAGGAATATTCATGTCATGAGCTTGAAAATCATTTTCCTTATAATCTGCCAAAAAATAGTGGCGAGTGAATGTCGATGATGGCTGTATTGAGTTCTTTTGGATTTTGTAGAGTTGAGAAGGAAAACAATATCAATCAGAATAAACAAATAAATTTATTAACACAAAATAAATAAAATAGAAAACAAATAAATTCTATGTCACTCACTCACTCTCACATACAGGCTCACACACCGAAAAGAAATAAATGTAATAGTAAACTGTTAACTCAGTTTTCACCAATTCCGGTACTTTACATTAATTCAATATTAACTTCTACAATTCTCATTCAGTAAGTATCAGATATTATATCAAATGAAAAATTCACCAAAATTGACTTAAATAATATTCCGAAAAAGCTCAAATATTTTTCATAAATAATTATATATATACTTCAATTTCTTTTTCTTAAACAGCTGAAAGTTACTCAATAGTTACTATATCACAACTGCTTATAAATGTTCACCGGAAGTCACACCACACGTGCATCCGCCATTAGCACTCATCTAGGAACGCCAAGTCCTGTGCCGTTCTCTCGTCACCACGTGGTAGTTGCTTTAACCGTAGCCCCGGGTCTATCGCCTCCCACTGCGGTTATCCTACCAACATCGGTTCCTGTTCAGCATCGACGATTGGACATTACACGACTGGCCCTCCATCCAACGCTCCCCACTGACCTCAAACGCTTATAACAGTCGTCAACTGACCCTCAGCCCGTCTTCTATGTGCACAATATTCTCTCAGCACCTTACGCACTGAAATGAATTTACGTTTACAAAAACCTAACCTATATTACAACTGAAAACCGGAAATTATAACAATAAACCAACTATTTACATTATTCGAACACTCTTACCGGCTAGAACTGCATACACACGCTGCAATAGTCCGCCTAACAAGTTATATGGCTACCCGTTAAATTCGGTGCTATATCTCACCGAAATATATTCGCCACTTGTATAATCATGCAGGGGATAAAGCAAACGTGGCACACCTCCGGCTGGTCACGCTACCGGACACCAAAATAGATCTGACCACTCCGACAAAACCGGTCCCTTTATATACTCGTAACAAAACAACCTCAATAGTAAGGAAACCCGTTAAAACCAAAATTAAAACAGTATATACAAAAAAAAATCAACTTCGTCACAATGGCGAACTATCCTCCTCTGAAGATAAACAGTTGTTCATTATGACTCGAGGAGGAGTCTTCATTGGCGATGATGCCTTTTTATTTGCTTTATTTATATAGTTGTTATAAAGATTAAGGTTTTAATTAAGCAACGAATACTTTTCTCTTTAAGGACAAACAAACTTTTATCAAAAATTTACGTTAATAAGTAGAGTTGCAGAAAGGAAGAATTTAGAACATCATAGAAAGTTTACAAATTCTTAATATTTTAGACATTTACTATTTGCATTATTTACACTCAAAATGTTTTCAAAAATATACTGTATACAGGTAAATTTTCGCCCCCCTTTTATTTCGCCCCTTTTGCCCTACCCTCAATTGAACAAATTTAAAACGGGGCGAATTAAAATAAACTACAGTATATTTTCTTTAACAGAACTATTATTGGGCTAATTCAAAACGGGGCAAAATTGCTTGCTAGTGTGAGGAGGCGAAAATAACACGGGTCGAAAATAACCCTGTATACAGTATCCCAATCCAAACATCCAATTTTTTTGTCTGTATCATCTGTCCTTAATGCATTTTTGTTTTAGATTTCGGAACAGGAACACTTCCTTTTGAACCTACATTTACCAGTAAATGGCAATATGTAAAAGCACAAGATAAGGCGAAAAGTGACATTTTCGTTCATTTCCCTGACAGCGTTGACACAACTACAAGACCTGTAAAAGTAACAGTTGAAGTAAGGGTCAAAGATGGCGGAGACTCTTACATCTTTAATGCGTTCGGTTCTTCTACACGAGACGATGACAGGAGAGAGAAATATGGCGGAGTAATTTATTTCTACAACGCTAGTGGTGTTCTAATTCTCTTGCCAAGCAATATCAACGGATATAGTTCCGGGAGGGCTGTGTATTGCGGTAAGTTGCAAATTAATCGACATTTCCAAACACATTTCTTCTGAAGCTGATAAAACAGCATACCCAAGCTATTTCCACTGAATGGATTCCTTTTTGCATAGAATAATTGACACAGGGGGCATTGTGTTAAATGGCTAAAAAAAAGAGAAATATTGAAATTTATTTGTTTGAACATATTTTATTGTAAAATTAATACAAAGGAATTGGTTACAAATTCTATCAACTTCGAAAATAAAAAACATTCCCTGTAATATATACAATAATTTTAATTATTGTTGAACGAATTTTAAATTACAGTTGTAATGAAAAATGTAAAGTTATGCATGTTTTATATACAAAATATTTCAAAGACACATTATAAGTTTAGATGCAACAAGTCTCTAATGATACATGTAAATTATTAAACAATAACAACAGTCAAATAATCATCATCATCAAATAAAATGAATAAATAAATGAAATTTATTTTTTAAAGGTGAAACGAAGGATTGGTACCACCCAACTTCTCATGAAAATAAAACAATCAGCAATATAGAATTCATGGAGGCCGATGTTTGAGTGAAAATGTGGCACCAAAACGATTTGCCCCCAGTATATGACTCCGGATTTGTATACACGATGAGATCAAGGAACTTGAGTAAAGGAGCAGGTATATATTAAACAATAGGATATTAATCTTAAAGGTGCTTACATCACTTGAGACTTTTAATCATGATTATTTCTGTGCAAAATTTTCATATTTGAATTTGATTACTCAAATTGACAGTTGCAGAAAATGTTCGTGATTTCAAATCATTTTTGTATATGTTTATAATACATTTGATTCCGAGCAAAAGTTTATCTGTCAGCAGATAAGAACAAGGATTCGCCTTTTTCATAAGCCTAAGAAAGTTTTTTTTAAAGAAATCTTCATTGCGTATTCCTGTAATTTTTATAATTATGTCTCGTCTAGTCCTGTGGAAGCAGACTAGAAAGTCAATTCCAAATTACCAATCCTGCGTTCTTTAATATCTGTGATTGTCTGATATTGCACGTTTCTTCAATCTCATGTTTACATTAATTTTAATTATATGGAAATCACAAACGTGAAGAACACACAAATAAATTAAGACAGAACACATTTGGAAGTGAAAACTCATAAGTACATCGATGTAATGGAATGTGTAATATAATATCATTTGTACAATACAATTAATAATTGATCTTTAATAATTTATAAATTGTTCAATGATTATTCAATTGCTATTCCATGGGTCCTTAACAGAATTATGATCAGGTGACCGTTCAGGCCCTTTGGCCTCTCGTTGCTATATAATATCAAATATTTTTTTAATCTTTGCAATGCTTGCACTGAATAATGAAAAGTCAAAAGCTGTGTCACTGTGAAACTTGGACAGAATTCCATAAAAGTCAAATTTGTGCTTTGAATTTGATTTATCTATGAACCAACATTAAATATATCAACTAGAAAAACATAGTCTTTGAATCAAAAATTAAAAAATTCAAGGGGCCATAGGTCATAATTCCAATGGGTTTTTTTTTTTGGGGGGGGGGGGGGGACTCTGTATGTATGCTTTTAAATGTAATTTTCATTTATGAAATTATTTATCCCAGCGCAAAAAAAGTGCAGGAAACTAAATTGTGTACAGAAATGCTGAGCCAAAACACAGTATATCCGTTTAAAGACGAACTTAAAAAATTAAGGAGGGTTTATTATTTCAAACACATTAAAAATCTTTATCCGTTATAACTACATTAACTTCAATAAATTGTAATATTTTTAGTAGTAGTGACATACTTAGAAGTGCCAGTCAATATGACATCACATCCGGATATGGTAGTGGTACAAGCTGAACCAATTTATCGTTTTTCAATGATGCCTGGGTTGATTTCAGAAGGAAACGGTATTTTTATGGCAATGAAGAATTATTCTTGTATTAAAATAAACTGAATGTTTTACCAATAATTATTTTAATATTTTCAACGATTTCTTTTTTTATTTGAATGTTTTTTTTTATCCGATGTCCATCTTTCCAGGAATGCCTGCATGTCTTAGGTGTGGTATACAAAGTGGTAGTCTGACATTTGCCTACAATGTTTCTCATGTTCGGCTGTGGGTTAAGTCAATGTGTAAGAATTAATAATTTTTTATTCTTTTATTTTATTTCCCGAAAAAGAAGATAAATAATCTTCTTTTTCGGGAAATTTCAATAGGTATATCAACATATCAAAAATCTACTACTTTCACTGTTTAGATCCAATAATAAGCGCAGTAGATGGATGGGGAGGAATCAGCTCTAATCGGATAATAACATATACAGCTAGAGTAAGAATTCTTGCCTGGAAGTTTGATAATGCAGTGAACTCTAGTGCTTGGATCGAAAAAATGACAACAAGGATTGACTTCTATACAACAACAACTCCAAAGCTGGTCTTCCCACGTGAAGTTGCAACAGAAGATTTTATTGTGTTGGTGTTGGTATGTTTTATTTGTAGATTTATCATGTCTCTCAATGCACTTGTTGAATCATCAAGACAGAAGAATAGTTCTTAATAAGTAACGTTCTTTGTTGAGTTTTTTTTCCATGAGTTTTTTTCCCCCCAAAATTTTGCATATTTTAAATTCCTTCCATTTTTGGCTCTTCTATTAAAGTCTGTGAAAAAATGTAGTCATCATTATGACAGATTTTTTTTTTCAATAACATAGCCATGTATACTTAAAGAAGAATTAATATATGTTATTCTTTTTTAAAAATGCTTCATCTTCAATATTTTTTTATTTGATTTGGATTCAGGCATAGATAAAATTGGCACTTCAGATTATATACAAATACGTATAATGTTTTTTTTTTATTTTGAGGAACAATACACAAGGCATTGAATAAAAATGTATGTTAAAATTGTTATGCTGTTTTTTTTTTCTTCAAAAGAAAATTTGAAGAGAGTGAGAGAGCTAGATTAAGATCCATAAAAATCTTTTCAAAGAAAAGTGAAATTAAAAATATAGTCAAAAATTAAAGACCTGTATTTTCAATATAAAGCTCAAACCAGTTCAGTCTTTTTTCCAGATTCGTCCCTTGAAAGGTCCAAATGGTGGCTTCTCATTTTATGGAGCTGGTTCAGTGGTGACTTCCGGTAAATATGATACTTTATATAAATATTCTGGACTGGTGTACAGCTACAACAACTTTGGTGTTTACGTCTGGAGAGTTAAACCTACCAAGATGTCATTTGTATTTGATGTTGATTATCCATGGGGAAAAGGATTCCAAAGACAACAAACAAATGACGTGGAAATTGACATTCATGTAATTGGATTGATGTTTAGAGGTTTGCAAATTTAAGTGTAATATACATATTTGAAACAAAATCTAGATCAAGTAATAGTTCAATACACAGCTAAGTGGAATGTGGCACATAATAATGTGCAATGCTTAAACTACCTTGGCTGTGGATAACATGCAGTTTGTATTTGATACTTCTGTATTATATTCTTTTTATGCTGATACATCTCCACTGTACATCTAAGTGTAAATCTACAATTTACAATCTCCAACATTGACATAATAATCTAAATACTTTGACATTAAATTTCATGCTTCTTCATTTTCTACGATGATACCCTATGTGATAATTATTATTTTGTCATTTTCTGGAGAAATTTTCGAGATTTGGTAAAATGTGTGAAAACAAAAAAAGAACTCAAACTTAATCAGAGTCTTTCTAGGATGAATATTTTACTCCAAAACCTAGCTGCAGAACGGTAGCTCTCTGCTTGAGAAAATTTGGACAGATAAAGCAGAGAGCTACAGATCCAAACGTTGCAAAAACTTTCAATTTCTTCTCTGCTTTATCTGTCCGAATTTTCTCATAATGAGAGCTACAGTTCTGCAGCTAGGTTTTAGAGTAAAATATTCATCCTAGAATGTTCTGCAGCTATCTAAAACCTATCAGAGTTTAGCAAGGAACATGTAAGCAATCTGAAAACCTAATTCTTTATGTCGATTTTTGAATTTAACCATAGGTGGCCTAACATTACCATAAATTCAGCTTTAATGAGACTCATCATACTCAACTAACTTGATTCTGTGTTGATTGGAATACCAACAACTTCAAATTTTTGGATAAAATAACTGGCTTTTCCCCCTTTCAAGTGTTTATTTAAACATGTCGCAGCCCCATTTTCTCCAATACATGCAACAATGTTTACCACTCATGTTGAAATTAGCCCATATGCTGTTTTCCCAGGAGTTGGCGTAAACTTTTCATCAAAATATTACAGATTTTAATAGCAAATGAATAGCAAGAATCATCTGAATTTAGATCAATGATTAATGAAGAAGTAATAACATATAATGTCAAAGTACCATCATACAGACGAATAAGCATCAGCATTTGAACAAAGTAAGACCATTCCAAGTTTTTCTTTTGTTTAGCGTCCACCCTAAATTCGAAAACCTGTCTTTCTATCCGGAAAAAAAAACACGCACACAAACAAAAGGGAAAAAAAACTCCACAATTTAGGCACAATTCTAGAAGTTCTTATCGTCATTTGAGAATTCTCCCCCTATGGTAACTAAGTTAACTGCTAGTTAATTGAAACAAAGCATTTTTTGGTACACATTTTAATAAAAAAGAGAGTTGCTGATTCCAAAAGAGTAAATTGAGTTTCAAAGATTTGTATTTGTCGATTTTAATTTGTTAGTTTTTAACTTCATAACCTCAAAACCAATCCGTCCGCGGACGCTAAACAAAGAAAAAACTTGGAATGGCCCAATCGCCTAAATTGAAGAACTCGGAAGCACTTAATGATATAGAAGCAATATATAATGAAGTATTCAGCTTTAAAATCTTTATTTCTTTTATCAGATGTTCACTGTCCCCAACTTAAGAATCCAGCAGATGGCACAGTCGTGTTAACTTCCGGTAGACACGTCAGTGATGTTGCCGTTTACAACTGTAATCCGGACTTTGTATCTGAGGGTAATCTTACTCGAATCTGTTTGAAAAACGGAACCTGGAGTGGGAAACCCGCAGTATGCTTAGGTAATGAATTCTCCATATAGAAATTAAGAAACTTTATAGCAGAGACAGAAATAACTAAAATTCGAGTGAGTATAAATTTATTTAAAATGGGTGTATTATTTTTAAGTTTTAATTATACATAACTTATTTAAAGCAAACTAGTCAAATTATAGCTGTCAGTGATTGGAAGTTGGAAAAAAACCTTTGAGTAACGTGTTGGTATTTTTTATTTCTCTTCTGTAATTATATTAAATTAAGAAACTAGCAAAAATATGAGTTCTGCATAGTTTGTTGATATGAATAAAAACATCCATGTTCGTTATCCTTGATAATTTTATAGGATTTGTGTTATATCTAAACGGTGCAAGATTTGAAAAAGTAAAATTTGAAATTGCGAGATTTCGAACAGTTGTGAATCTTGCTTTTTAAGTCTCTGCTTTACATGTAATTTTTTTATTTTTATTTTTTTTTATTTATTTTTTATTTTTATTTTTTTTATTTATTTATTTATTTATTTATTTTTTTTTTTTTTT